AGCATGCCAGTCTGGCTGTACCCACAGCACCACCCTCCTCTCCAGCCCAGGCATGGTGCCAGGAGCCTGAAATTGGCAGCACTTAGGATCTGCCCACGCCGGCTTGGTAGCAATCTCGCTTTTGCCGACAGGATTTTGTGGCACCACCGCCCCACCCAACCCAAGCTTCCTCCCTGAGACGCTGCTACTGCCCAGCCTGACGGAAGGAAACCTCCCCCCCCCTTGGCCCCCCGGTGTACCTTCAAGTTGAGGCTGGGGTCCTGCATGACCAACACGGCCAGGGTGGGGATGTAGATGCCCCCATAGCTCTCGCCAGTGAGGTAGAAGTCCTTGCCGCAGTACTCCGGGAAGAGGCGGAGGAATTCCTTCAGGGCCAGGTAGTTCACTCGGGCCACCTGGCAGGCGGACGAGAGGGAAGAGGAGGTGGGCGGGAAGCCAGCGGCAGGTAGGGGAAAGCCCAGCCGCCCGGTCCCAAGCGAGCCCCCGCACCTCGGTATCGTTGGTCCGGTAGTCTTTGCCGTCCGAATAGGAGTAGCCGACGCCGACGGGGGACTCCAGGTACAGGATGTTGGCAAGCTGCAGAGGAAGCGCCCGGTCATTCCCGGGGCCAGGTGCACAAGAAGAGGCAGGCCCGTTGGCAGGCCCACAACACCAAGAGCCGGGAATGTGCCCAGCTGCCAGTGCCACCCACGCCCAGTGACACCTCCAAGCGCCAGGAGTCTTCCCTGGCCGCCAACGGGCCTTGTCAGGGCTGGGGAATGCCCTACCTTGTTCCAGGCATAGTCGTTGTACTCCAGGGTGGCCCCGTCCTCCTGAATCTGTGGGAGGAGAAGCAGCCGGTCACTTCACAGCGAGAGAGGGGGCACCAACGGCAGCTCACCCCTCACCCCCCCCCGCCCCAACTGACACAGGTGATCCCAGGGGCCCTTTGCAAAGAAACACACACGGCCCTTCGCAGAGACAGCTGACACGGCTGAGCTTGCCGTCGACTGACCCTTCCCTGCCCGGGGAAGACACAAGGTAGATCCGGCCCCCCCACCCCACCCGCAGGGCACTGGCCAGGGGTGGGGGGCCGGCCTGCCGCTACTGACCGTGAAGGGCCCGTGCTCGGTGAGGAGGCCGGTGACGGAGCTGCAGCCGGGCCCGCCGTTCAGCCACAGCACCAGGGGCTTGTCCGCCGCGTCGTGGCCCTGCGCCTCCACGAACCTGCGAAGAGGAGGAGGGGGACGCCGCCCGTGGGGGGCCAGAGTGAGTGCCCAGCCCGACCCCCCCCTCCCTCCCCCCCTCGCCGCCCGCCCGCCCCAGGTACCAGTAGTGCAGGTGCTTGTCCTGGTCCACGTCCAGGTAGCCCGAGTAGTGGCGGAAGGAGGGCTGCTTGGCCAGCCCCGGCAGGTAGCCCACCTCGTGCCCCGGCGGGCCCGCCCCGACGGCCCCCGCCGCCGACAGCAGCAGCAGCAGCAGCAGGACAGATCCCGAAGGGCGCATCTGCCGGAGAGAGAAGGGGCTTAGTGGGGGGGGGG